CATTGTTACACTGTAATCAAAAATACTACAAAATATTTACAACCATTATACGTGTACGGATTTCGCGTATGGAAAAATTTTGTTCGTCGCTTTTCGGATATAGTTGTTATATTGCAATGTGACATTAATCTCCACACACGAGATAGCGTTGTAAAACTACAATGACTTGTTCATAATCAGTTTTCTTCACGGCGATTTGAAAATTTCATTTCATGATATAAAAGTGGATACATATCGTCAAGACCCCCTCATTTCCCAAATACAGTAGAATTTTGGTATGCATCATGTAATGAACCACTACGTCATATGCATATGCGGTGACGTAACAATTATTATTATACCATATACTTAATGTCGGAAACCGTTCTGTTTGAAACATTTTTTCGAAGAATACCATTATTGCCACGATTATGTTCCCTAACTTATTCAAACTATTCGTTACCTATAAAATTGACATATACATAGAATACCTATGTACTTTAACGATAAATGTTTTGTGATACAAATTTAATAAAATTAACAGTTATGTATAACGCAAATAGAATTGTCTCTTATTTATGCTTAAAAATGACATTGACTGGTAGTGTACTATCGTACGATACAATCCGGTTTAGTATCGTGCGGCGCGTCGCGGGCGCGCACGCGTAATGTTTATAATAAAAATCTGAGGAATTGTAGGAGGCAATATCGTATGTATATATACCAATGGATCTGTAATAAAATTCTCTACACTTTTTGTCATTATACAAATTTGAATAAATTGTAAAATAAGATTATGAAAAATTTTTTTGTTATAAACAAATTGTATTTTGCAAAATTCGTTAACATCCTGTTATTATACGCAAGAAACTATACAACTTTTCTATTAGAAGTTTTAATGTATCTCGTATGGTTTTCGAGATAGCCAAAAGGGGGCGAAACTTTATAATCGCCGGACTTGGTCCGGTGGTTTTTATTAAAAAGTCTTTGGCTGCTCAGCCGGTATGCCGGGTTCGGCCGGGGTACACTATACTATATCTTTACTCACTAACGCGACTTACAAACTAACGGAGGACGGACGCGGAGCGGAACTTAGTATGCGGAGTGTAACGCGGAGCGGAACGCGGAAACGCAAACGCAGATCATGGCTTACTTACTAGATCGGTCGCTTTACAATATCGCAAGGGGAAGGAGGAAAAATCGGGAAAAGGATTTGACCTTTTGCCGCTGGTTCGGGTCCGATGCTGCTTATAGCCCTGCGCCGTCCCCCAGGCAGGAGACCATTGGTCCGAGGGCACGTTACTGGTGACCCTCGGCGGCTGAGATACCTCCGTCTTGCGGCGTAGCCGGGCGTCGCGTCGTAAGGCAAGGATACTGAGTCTGGTTTACAGCCTGAAGACGATCGAATACGCCCTGCCCCAGGCCGCCTTCGGTTGGAGGAAAGATAGGGAAATAGAACCAAAAATCGTGGAGAGAGCCAGCACGGCGACGGTCGGTTAGCGGTCGGTTCGCTTTACAAACGGTTCGTCTGGTGATCTCTTCCGAATCGGTCCGTGGCTCGGTCTTATATATGCCGCGGGTGCCGATTCTACGGCTAATCACCATCTATCGATTGTTGATTGCGATAGCGTTCGCGCCTGTTAGTAGGCAACCGTGCCTACTAATGCGTTACAACTTTAAGGGCTCGTTTCACCCCTTAAAGCCGCGTCTCAGCCGATAAAAAAAAATACGTGTCCCTTATTTTTGCGTGCTTAACAAACCTACGAAGTTTCATCAAAATCGGAGGGGGACACTTGCGTGCCTTTCCTTGTTAGTTGTCTAGCATGTTGGTCGAAAAGAGGTGGTGTCTTATGCATGCATAACTTATAAATTTTACCGCCAAATGTATAATTTTGCATACGAATTATATATTTTGCAATTGAGCTGTATAATTTTTTATCATTTTAGGACGCTTACAATTATAATACTAATTTTTAACGTAATAAAACATTAAAGCATAAACCTTTTGCTACTAAAAAATGTATATTTACACTTCAAAATAAAAATGTGAGAAAATTAAAAATAAGCGTAATGCAATTATTTTTAGACTTCGATCATCCAAAATATATGGAAAATGTCTTTTTATCAAATTTTCTTATCAAATTAATTTATTTGAAATACAGAAACTAATTTCTTATATTCAATGAATAACACTGTCCAACAAATTTTAAAAACAAATTTAAACTTAAAATTTAGAAAAAATAAAATGTATACAATAGAAAGTTTTTCTATATTATAAACAGATTTCAAAACTGTCTTCAATCATTTGATTCTTAAATTTTGAGTTATAATATTTTATAATTGTATCGTTGGTAGCTAAAAATAATAACGAATAATAACAAAATATGAATAATAATAACTGTGAAATAATAATACTAAAAAAAATTAAACATCCTAAATATAATAAAATAATTTTTAGAAAAAAAATACGCCGACTTCGAAATGCACTAAAAAGTATAAAATAATTTCTATTTCCTAATGAAGTAATTTCTATTTCATTCAATCATACAATTACGTAACAGATATGAATGAAACCTATTTACTCGTTAGGTATTATATTAAATACATTTCAACCTTTTCGGAGGCGGCGCAAAATTAAAAGATTATTTTGAATATGTTATTTAATTTT